TAAAAATGCCTCTGTAGTTTTGAGCTTTGGGTATCCATGCGTCTATTCATTCTCACCAGTTGCTATTTACGTTCCCATACTCTCTTTTGAATTCTTTTTGTACGTTATTCATGTTACTTATCACCATATCCCACACACACACTTTCCGCGTTTTCTCCCTCTTTTTCTGCGTTCAATATCGTTCTATTTTTCTTTCCCTCCCACCCTCTCTCTTTCTCTCTCTCTCTCTCTCTCTCTCTCTCTCTCTCTCTCTCTCTTTCTTTCTCTATCTCCTTCTCTCCCTCTTTCCGACTTTCTCTGTTTATGCTCTCACCCTTTCATCCTTTCTACCCCTCTTTTTTTGTTCTTTCCTTCCGTCAAAAACTTGCAACCGCCCAGAGTTAGAAAGACGCTGTCTCAATGAACTCGTTTCATCGGAGCCCTCGGACGGAACTTTCGCCACCAGCAAAGCCAGCCGGTTTGTGCGCCCGACTCTACGATAAAATTACAAAATTGCTACAATTGTTGTGAAAATAAAATAATAAACTAAATTCCTTTCTTTGGCACCAATACCCCCAAAACCACATCCCCCCTCCCCCATTCCACCCTTTTCACCTCAAGAAATCACATTTTGTCGACTCCGACAACAGTAAACATCGCTTGGATCTCGATGAAACGTTTCTTTTTTCGGCTGTGTTCACATTTATTACGCCGTCTTCAGGACACTCGATCATGGTAATCTACCAACAAATAAGGAGGTCGTTTTGCTCAGAGAATATTATAATGTTCACAGAAAGCATCTCCTTGCCGAACTGGGCACGATAACTACATTGTAACTTGATACCAAAATAAGAGCCTGTCTCATTTGGTTGTCATGGCAACGAATAAACAAAGGAGCGTTACGCATGCCATTTATAGAGGAGATCAATTCAAGCACAAAGCTAGAAGTAAACAATTAATCTTTTTCTCGTGGTGACACAGTCTTGTCTCTCTACTTTTGGTGTGTGTTAGTAAGCGTTTTTACCGCACTTTCAACTCAATAAGGTCATATGGATGCCGAAATTAGAAGTGCTACAGGAGAGTAACAAACATAAAAAGCTTAATACGTTATTGGTGACTTTGTCAGTAGGATACATGGGTCGCGGGCCATGCTCCCCAACAATTGATGAACAAATAACGATGGGAAAAACCCTTCAGAAAGACTAATTGGTATCATTAAAGAGTTTTACGGCACTTGCAACATATTAATAGGTCCTAAAAATGCGGAAATTTCAAACATTTTTTTGTATGAGTTTACGGCATTTACAACACAATTAGGTCATACAAGTACGGAAAATTAGACGCCTTACTAGAGAGTAACATACAAATAGAAGATGGGGAGAGATTAAAAAACAACAACCGATTATTATTAAACTCAAATTTATTGAAAGAATATAACAAAACAATCTCCAACATTGATAATCACAAACACAATGAACCCGGAAGACTGAACAAAACCTCACGCAGAGCGAATTGATGAGATTCCTGGGTTTCCCACCACGACATCAAATGAAAACAACAATGTCGAATGGCGGGCATCTTTGCCACGGTCGGAGTCAGCGAGAATTTGTGAGATAGCACAAGGATCTCCCTCACCTTCCTCCCTATTCTGATTTCGCTTTCAACACACTGACGTCCTTAAACCCAAACCACCACCCCTCCGACCCCAACCTTTAAAAAATGTCCTGGTACATATTATAATGCCTGCAATTTCTGCTTTTGTGACTGTCAGGCTGGCTCGGTGTGTTTGAAAAATGTAAAGCACTAAGACTTGGACACTGTAAAGATCATTTTTATGCAGGAAAAAACACGCAAAATACGCAGGGCACAGAAATCACAGGGTTAAACTAAGGCCAAGCTCATCGACTAAGAACTGAAAAAAGTAAGAAAAAACAAACAAGATACTCAAAACAGAAACAAGAAGGGAAATCAAAGAAATAGGACCCACCTGTACCGTTCGCCAACCTCCTGCAGGCTGGCTGGATGAAGTAGATTGAACTTTGCAGTCTTTATTAAGTGAACATTCTTTACGGACTCTTTAGAGTCTGTGTATGTCTTGCCACGTTGCTAATTTCGCCTGTACATGTCAGAGCCAACTCGGGTTGAATGAGGTACAACATCTTACAATAAAGACGCTCCTGAACAAACTGACCTTCTCGGGAATCAAACTCCCACGTTCTGTTTTCGACGGTGAAAAAGACCAACCATTACTCCGCAGAAGCCGGTTTTGTGAGGCCTTCGGAATTCCTTGGCCTCTGGGTGTCTGTCTGTCTGTCTGTCTGTCTGTCTGTCTGTCTGTCTGTCTGTCTGTCTGT